GGCAACGCCGGGTCCCCAAGCTAGTAATAAATGACTTCCATTCCATCTTCTTGGATAATATTTTCTGTATGCTTTCTATTCTCAAACCAAGGAGCCTCCAGTGGCACAGTGGGTAAAACGCTTGTGTTGGCATGACTGAACACTGACAGGTTGTAGGTTTGAATCCAGTGAGAGTATGGATGAGCTCCCTCTGTCAGCTCCAGCTCCCAATTCGGGGACATGAGAAAAGCCTCCGACAAGGATGGTAAAACATCAAAAACATCCTGGGCAACGTCTTTGCAGACGGCCAATTCTCTCACACCAGAAGCGACTTGCAGTTTATCAAGTCACTCCTGACATGAAAAATTTTTTCAAACCACTGGTATTTTTAGCAGAGATTGATGTGAATTAAAATCTAAAATATCTAGAGGCCACCAAGTTAGGGAAGGACACAGTAATCATTTATAAGGAACAAAAGCTGATGATGGGAAAAAAAAGGAGTTATGCATGGAAGTGGGTTGCTACAGCTCCAAAGAGCAGAACAGATCAACAAGTTTGTAGAAATCACAAGTAACTAGAAAGCTATGGAAACATACATTCACATTTAAAGCATTAAATAGCAGACATCAAAATCACTTACTATTCTCATAGCATTTGCGAAGAAGTAAACTGAAAAGGAGGAAAGAACAGCCACTGTTAATTTGGATGTCTACCAACTCAGAAGATACACATGTGTTAGGCTTCTAAAGATTACTGAGACAGGTCTGCAGGGCTCAACAACACAGCAAATCACGCAATCCAACTCTGATGCAACAGCCAAGCCAGAATAACACCACACTTATGGCAGTCCCCAAGTTACAAACAAGAAAGGTTTCATAGGTTTGTTCTTAAGCTGAATTTGTTTGTAAGTTGGAACAGATAAAGTTTTTAAGTGTAACCTTTGGATCACACAGGGAAGAGTTAACACCCTTGTGGTGATTTTTCTTTTGCTGTCCCTGTTCAGAACATTTCACCTCACTTAATGTCCCCATGACAGCTGGATTTTGGAAAATTGGCTTGTTGTCGAAACAAGGATTGCTGATAAACCCTAACCCTGCACCTCTCCCTTCCTCCTCTAAGCCTGGTCACGGTACCAAGACAGCTTTGGTCGCCTTGATGGATGACCTCTGCAGGGAGCTGGACAGGGGGAGTGTGACACTGCTGGTTCTCTTGGACATCTCAGTGGCTTTGGATACCACCGACCACGGTATCCTTCTGGGACGGCTCTCCGGGATGGGTCTTGGGGGCATGGCTCTGTCGTGGCTCTGGTCCTTCCTGGAGGGTCGCTCCCAAATGGTGAAGCTGGGGGATACCTGCTCAGACCCCTGGCCTTTGACCTGTGGGGTCCCGCAAGGTTCCATTCTGTCCCCCATGCTTTTTAAAGTCTACATGAAAGCGCTGGGAGAAGTCACCTGGACTTTTGGAGTTGGATGCCATCTCTATGCAGATGACGCCCAACTCCACTACTCTTTTCCACCTAATTCGGGTATTGGACAAGTGCCTGGCCGCTGTGGCTGTCTGGATGAGGATGAATAAGCTGAGGATCAATCCTGACAAGACAGAGGTCCTCCTGGTCAATCGTAAGCTGGATCGGGGTATAGGGTGGCAACCTGTGCTTGATGGGATTGCACTCCCCCTGAAGTCACAGGTCCGCAGCTTGGGTGTCTTCCGAGACTCATCGCTAACACTTGAAGCCCAGCCGTCGGCGGTGGCTGGGAGGGCCTTCTCACAATTAAAACTCTTGCACCAGCTACGACCATACCTCGTGAAGTTGGATCTGGCCATGGTGGTCCACGCCTTAGTCACCTCCAGATTGGATTACTGTAATGCACTCTATGTGGGGCTGCCCTTGAAGACGGCTCAGAAATTTCAATTAGTACAACGGGCGGCAGCCAGGTTACTAACTGAAGCGACATACAGGGAGTGGGCAACCCCCGTTTAAGGAATTCCCATTGGCTGCCGTTCCTTTTCCGGTCCCAATTCAAGGTGCAGGTTCTTACCTACAAAGTCCTGAATGGTTTGGGACCCGCCTACCTGCATGACCGCATTTCTGTGTACGAACCCACGTGATCTCTGCGATCATCTGGAGAGGCCCTGCTCTCACTCCCGTTCCCTTTGCAGACACGATTGGTGACAAGGGCTTTCTCTGTGGTATCCCCCTGATTCTGGAACTCACTCCCCAAGAATATCAGACAAGCCCCCACATTGGCAGTCTTTAGGAGGAGCCCAGCCATAAGGTTTTAAATTCTCTGTGTTATTGTTTATATGTAAGTTATATTAATTGTACTGTTTTATTTGCTTGCTGTTTTGTTTTTACTGATGTGTTGTTGGGTTTGGCTTCATGTAAGCCGCCTCGAGTCCCCTTGGGGAGATGGTGGTAGGGTATAAATAAATAATAATAATAGAAATAATAATTATTATTACTATTATTAATCTTCAGCTGAGACACCTTTTCCCCATGATAACCCTTCTAGGAGTGAATTTTGCTTCCTAGGGGTAGATTTATATCTCACTTCCTGTTGTCTCACTCCCGTTCTTAACTGGGAGTCATTTGTAAATCAGATGTTTGTAACTTGGGGACTACCTGTACTGACTCCTATGGTTTAATAAAATAAGGGTTTTTTTTGTAATGCAAACATGTTTCAAATTAGGTAAGTTAATTGTTAACCATTGCTAATAATGCCTAACCACATACACATAGCAACCACACACAATTTTAATACTTTTGAACTGGAGGTCTTCAGTTACCATGCAGTGAAGCATACAAATCGAGCCAGCAAATATTCTCTCACATAACCCATCAGCAAATATTTTCTCACATTACCACATAATGCATGCTCTGTCATGATGCTAAATATCAGTGTTTCTCAACCTTCATAATGCCGCGACCCCTTAATACAAGTTCTTCGTGTTGTGGTGACCCCCAACCATAAAATTATTTTCGTTGGTACTTCACAACTATAATTTTGCTACTGTTATGAATCATCATAAAAATATCTGATATGCAGGATGTATTTTATACAAATACATGCTATGTCCACATTTGAATACTAGTGGGGTTGGGGGGGGGGGGAATAACTGATTTTGTCATTTAGGAGTTGTAGTTCCTGGGATTTATAGTTACCTACACTCAAAGAGCATTCTGACCTCCACCAATGAGGGAACTGAACCAAACTTGGCACACAGAACTCTCATGATCAAAAGAAAATACTGGAAGGATTTGGTAGACATTGACCTTGAGTTTTGAAGTTGTAGTTCACCTACATCCAGAGAGCACTGTGGACTCAAGCAATGATGGATCTGGACCAAACTTGGCACAGATACTYAATATGCCGAAATGTGAACACTGGTGGAGTTTGGGGAGGGGGGATAGACCTTGACATTTGAGAGTTGTAGTTGCTGGGATTTATAGTTCACCTACAAACAAAGAGCATTYTGAACCTCACCAACGATAGAATTGGGCCAAATTTAACATATGGAACCCTCATGACCAACAGAAAATACTGTGTCTTCTGATGGTCTTTGGTGACCCCTCTGACATCTCCTTGCGACCCCCCCGGGGGTCCCAACCCCCAGGTTGAGAAACGCTGCTATATATGATCTTGATTTTGAGGAATGTTATCAAAAACTGTTCCATTTCTTCTAAGTTATAGCAAGCTATTTTTCCCAGTATATATTATTCCTGCACAGAACAAAGGTAGAACATAATAGAGAATGAAATACATACTGTCATCTGGGTCTTGAGGGTAAAAACTCTTTCCCTCAATTTCATCTAACACCTCATAGATAATTTCTGTTTGGCCTCGAGAAGACATGGCTGTGAAATAAAAGAAAGACAGGAGATGATATCTTCCTTCTATCAGTGTGTTTCTCCTATGATGCAACAGATAAAATGCAAAATAAGACATAAGTCATTTTCACAACTTTTCTTCTTAGTTCTTGTTCATGCAAGTGCAGATGGTGGTTGACTTCTTTGCTGCTGTATGTCACTGCAACATAACGTAAGAACAGTAGAAAACGTACACACAAATAGCCATCAATAAAACTGGTCCCAAAAACTCTGGACATTTTAATACTTTAATATTCCACTTTTCAGTGGAACTTTGAAAAATGCAGAAGTTAACTTCAGTAGATATGAAAAGGTGGAAGTAATCTTGAAACTTTGCATTGTAGACAAAGCCCTGAGAGGCCAGAGGTTCCCTGAGCAAATCAGGATTCCAACCTTTAAATACTATGTATGAGAAAAGATATAAAATTATAATAAACACAATCACAGTGACAATGGGCGGGCTACATGTAATAGTTAAAAGGAAAAACTAATTAAAAGCTGATTAATAAACTTGGGTGAGATAAAGGAGAAGCAGATTATTTGCGGAGGAGGGCTCATTAAAACGGGGGTTGTGGCTCATGACTCATATGCCTTTTTAATTTAACATAATTATGTCATGGTATAAGAAATTCCTGACAGACAGGGTTATTTTTCCCCAGTCTTCTTGACTACAGAAACCCACTGGGTGACTTTAGGAAAGTCATATATTCTCAAGAAAATCATGTGATAGGTTCACTTTAGATTCACCGTAAGAAGGAAACAACTTGAAGGCACAAAACAAGACATGCCCAAATCCAGGAAAAGCATATAGAAAGATCTTCATATTCATTGAATAAGCTGTAAGGCAGGAGAAAAGCTGCTGTTCTAACAGTAAAAAAGTCAAACTGAGATTTTTATATGACCAAGGAAAGAAGTTGACTATTTTTATGCTGATCTAGAGACTACATACCTGATCTGTAAAATATTGCAAGGAGATGGTCAAATGTTGCAAGGCTGGGTTCTGAAATAAACAGAGATCTCTTGAATCAATTCATCTTAAATTTACCCAAGCACAAACAGACATGAATTAATCCATATTTCAGTTACAAAAGTTATCTATTAAGCAAACTCTGTTACACAGTACATCTGTGTGAAAGCCTAATAATGGGGCAGGGAGAAGGAGGATTAAATATTCCCCAGAGAGAAAGAAAATATATGTAGTAAAGAACGGGCACTGGAAGGGTTAAGTATGTTGTTAGCATATGTCAATTTTCCCATGCAAATTATGATGCCTTGGAGTTGGTTCTGTCCCCACTCCCAAAAACATAATGAACCTTATAAAAAATTACAATAAAATAAAATGCAAAGAGAGGAGTAAATAAAGCATGTATAGTACTAACAAAACAGCAAATACATTGTTGTGGTATTTATTATTTATTTATTTATTTACCTTACTTATATACCGCTGTTCTCAGCCCGCAGGCGACTCACAGCGGTTCACAACAAATACGAACAGCAAAAATTCAGTGCTACAGTATAGAAACAGTTAACAACCTAACACATTACACAATTAATAAACAGTTACTACAATACCCATTCACTGTCGTCTCGTCATCAAAAACATGTTCCAGATTCGTCATCCATTGTTCCATTCCAGTGTTCATTAACCAATCATTGCACTAATTATTCGAACGCCTGCTCAAACAGCCAGGTCTTCACTTTTTTGCGGAATACCATTAGAGATGGTGCTAGTCTAATGTCCGTAGGAAGGGCGTTCCACAGCCGAGGAGCCACCACCGAGAAGGCCCTATCTCTCGTCCCCGCCAGCCGAGCTTGAGAAGCAGGCGGGATCGAGAGCAGGGTCTCCCCGGAAGATCTCAAAGTCCTGGTGGGTTCATAGGCAGAGATGCGGTCGGATAGGTAGCTTGGGCCGGAACCGTTTAGGGCTTTAAAGGCCAACGCCAGCACTTTGAATTCAGCCCGGTAGCAGATCGGTAGCCAGTGGAGTTGGCAACAGGGGGGTTGTATGCTCCCTGCGTCCCGCTCCTGTTAGTATCATGGCTGCCGAGCGTTGGACTAGTTGAAGCTTCAGAGTTGTCTTCAAAGGCAACCCCACGTAGAGAGCGTTGCAGTAATCTAGGCGGGATGTAACCAGAGCGTGGACTACCGTGGCCAAGTCAGACTTCCCAAGGTACGGGCGCAGCTGGCGCACAAGCTTTAGCTGTGCAAATGCTCCCCTGGTCACCGCCGAAACCTGGGGTTCCAGGCTCAAGTTCATTACTCAAGGTAATGAAGGGGTTTTTTTCTGAAGAAAAATTATTTGGTTGCTTTCCATCTGACACATTTTTGGACACATCTGACACAGTTTTGTTCTGAAAAATCCAGAACAAAACATGTGAGGATGATAGAAACAGGTCATAAGAAAAATATATCGAGCTATTTCTGTAAGAATACTATGGAAGGCAAAGCACTAATAAAATGTTTACAGTTCAACAACATTTTTATTCTAGTCCTGAGCACAGGGTAGACATAGCTCCACAACTTTGGTTGTGCAATGTTTACAAGCAGCATTGTTTCAATTGTACATATAGGAGCCCCCGGTGGTGCAGTGGGTTAACCCCTGTGCCGGCAGGACTAAAGACCGACAGGTCGCAGGTTCAAATCCGGGGAGAGGCGGATGAGCTCCCTCTATCAGCTCCAGCTCCTCATGCGGGGACATGAGAGAAGCCTCCCACAAGGATGATAAAAACATCAAATCATCCGGGTGTCCCCTGGGCAACGTCCTTGCAGACGGCCAATTCTCTCACGCCAGAAGCGACTTGCAGTTTCTCAAGTCGCTCCTGACACAACAAAAAAAAATTGCACATATGAATGTCACAATCATATACCTTATAAGAGTCATATATCCAATCCCTAAATGTTTGCCTCTTTGAAAGTTATGGTGAAATAATCTAAACAGAAAGTAGAAAATTCTTACCTATATTTAGTGCTTTCATTTCACTAAGGGTCTGGAGGGCCATACTCCGGGCTAAAGAACCACATCGCCTCAGTGCCTTCAGCACACAATTAAAAGTTAACAGGTTTGGCTGTATCTTCTGTTGAGCCATCTGTCTTAACAAGTCCTATGAACCAAGATAAATCAGAAACATCACTAGACTGACTTTTTTAAAAATCAAAAAACCAAAATGCAGAATCTTTCCATCCCAACCCTTTTCCCAACATTGGAGGGAAAATTGTTGAAATATAGTAAGGTCAATCTAGATAATAATGAATAATGTAAAGATATTGAGATGGGAAATAAAAAATGAAGTTATAAGAACTGAATTTTAGTGAATACATTTGTTTGTATTGATATCACCTGCAGGTAGGTATTCACTTTAACCACACGTGTTTATATTTAGCAGAGTAAAAACAATTAGAATAGTACATTATAACAACACGAATGGCCTTTGCAAAATACTGAAAAAGTGAGAAGATACCGTTAAAAGAACAATGGCTTGAGAAAGAGGTGGAGATAAAGGACATGGACAAATTAACTTTCTTTTTAAGGAAAAATACAGGAAGATTTATAAAACAAACAGAAGGGAAACTTTTTGAAGAATATCTCAAAAAAGAATTGGAAGATGAATGAGATGGAATTCGGGGGAAAAATCAAAGGACAGAAAAAAGAAAGATGCCACCCTCTATAAAAAGAGAGAAAGGTTAACTCTCTCTCTCTCTCTCTCTCTCTATATATATATATGATGAACTGCTATGAACAAGAATAGAAGTCAAATCTACACTTTTTTCTCTTTTTTTCTCATTTTTTAATTTTACTTTATGGTGTGTGTGTGTGTATGTGTACGTGTATGTGTGTGTGTGTGTATATATATATATATAAATAATATTTTTATCTATATATATATTTTCTCTTCCTTTTTCCTACTATCCTATTAGTGCACTGTTCTCCCACTTTCCATGGGAAAACATATAACCTCCTATACATTTTTTTCTTCTCCTTAACTATACTTTAATTTTTTCTGTTTATATTAATCAATAAAAATTATTAAAAAGAAAAGAATACTACATTATAACATTTTGTTAATGCCATGGTTTGAATGGGGAACAATCAACTGTGCTTTTAATGTCTTTTGTGTATTTTTAAATTTTTTATTTTTAAAGGCTAGGGTTACAGGGATGGGTTTTTGTATCTTTTTGAAAAACCTAATAAAAGCATTAATACAGTAAGGAAATCACTCCATTTCTTAACATCAGATGCCAGCCACATGACCTTGGAGGTGTCTACGGACAACACCGGCTCTTCAGTTTAGAAATTGAGATGAGCACCACCACCCCCCCCCCCCCCCCCCGAGTCAGACACAACTAGACTTAATGTCAAGGGGAAACCTTTACTTTTTATTAGTTCAATAAAAATTGGGTAACATAATGCTCATCTGAGAAATATTGTATGACAATAACAAAGTTGGATATAAAACCACAAGATAAAGGTAAAGATATATATTACAGTCTGGTACAGTATACAATTCCTTACTTCAACAAGCTCCCATCTTTCTGTGTATTTTTCTTTCACTTCTGCAGCTGCTAAAATTAGTGCATTGAATGTATACACATCAGCTGAAAGAATGAAAAAGTCAATTAGATGAATATTATGTCTTCATTTGTTGTCATTTATTGCATTTATATGCTGCCCTTGGGACTCAAAGCAGCTCTACAGTACTTATTACTATATATACTCAAGTATAAGCCGACCCGAATGTAAGTCGAGACACCTAATTTTACCATAAAAAACTGGGAAAACGTATTGATTTGAATATAAGTTGAGGGTGGGAAATGCAGGTGCTATGAGTAAGTTTCAAAATAAAAATAGATAACCAATAAAATTACATTAATTGAGACATCAGGAGATGAAATGTTTTGGAATATTTACATAAGACTGTAATTTAAGATAAGACTGTCCAACTCTGATTAAATCGTCATTCTAACCTTCTTTAATGTAAGCATACTTACGTATCCTTCCAACAATAATAAAGAGAGTAAAATAATAAATATAGTAACAATAGAGTAAAATAATGGAAATGCAATTATAACAATAATAATAGAGTAAAATAATAAATGCAATAATTAAGTAAATTAATAAATGCAATGATAATAATAAATAGAGTAAAATAATAAATGTAATAATAATAGGGTAAAATACTGTAAATGTAATAATAATAGCGTAAAATAAATGTAATAAAATAATGCTGATAACAGAGAAAAATAATAAATAACCTTGACTGCAGTATAATTTATTTATTTATTTTGAGGTTTTATATACCGACCCTCTCACCTTCAAAGAGGGAT